TGTGGGTTTGCCTAAGCATGGCGGGTGTGCAAGGTGTACTGAGTGTGGTGGAGCCGGTGTCGGTGGTCGCGCTGATCTGCGGAGCGTGGGCGGGCAAAGCATGGTGGGTGTGTCAGGTGTGTCATGGTTGTGGTCAATTCCGTCGTTGTGGATACGCATGTGGCCGATTAGGCCCATGCGGTGAATGAGTGTGGGAGTGCAATGTTGACAGTAGAGATGGTTGCGGCGTGTGTAGGTTGAAGCTCCAGGCACCAGTTCGTCAGCTCCTGTACGATAGATTCGCAAGTGACCTACCAGGCCGATGGGTGAGGTAAAGTTGCGGTCGCACTGTGGACAGGTTTAAACCGGGTCCTCACCATTTGTCTTGACGGCAGTGGTGTTGGCGTTTGTTGGTGTGTCCGGATTTTGTGTAAGATTGATGTGCGTGGCAGACACCATAGCGGCAAACGTTGAGGCAGTGGGGGAAGAGGATGAGGATTTTAATGGTGTTTCGGGCGAGCGGTTAGAGTTAGTTGATGACGTACAGGCCGCTGAGAGGTGAGGGAAGAGACGACGGTTGATGCAGTCTGAACGCTACAGATAGTCCGAAGCTATCCAACAAGCCCAATTTGCGCCCAAAGTGTCCGCTGACGCTATAGAAGCACTGGGGGGCGGTTGGGTGCTGGCGTTGCGGGGAAGGCGCAGGCGAGAATCGTGCGTTTCTTTCTTGGCTTTTGCGGCAGCGATGCGATTTGCTCCGCGTATCGCTTCGCCTGTCTTCTCTGTCCCCCTCCGGTTCGGTCTGTCTCGACCGAAGTCTTCCTAGTTGGCCCGGGTTGAGCTGCAGACACTTCAGGGAGCTCATCAGGGTATCATTGTTGCAATCGACTTGACCTCTTGTTGGCGGGAACTCGTGGTGACATCTTCATAGAAGAGTCGTTTGGATAGCCGCTCTTTGTCCATCCGCACGAGGTGGCCGCTCCGACGCAGTTTCAGTTGTCTCAGGATGGCGTAGGTGCTGATGATTCCCGCCTGTTTTAGTACATCTTTGTCTAGGATCTGGTCCTGCCACCTCAGCTTTGCTATCCGCCGGAGAGTGCTGGAGTGAAACTGATTGGGCCTGTGCGTCTGCTTCATGTACACTGTCCAAGTGTCTGCTCCTTGCAGCAGCGTCGGTAAAATAGCCGCCTTTTACATCTTCAGTCCGTTGCTTATATTTGGACCGTATCGATTCCAGGCGGTGTTTTGCAGACAGCCAAAGGCTTGTCTGGCTTTGGCAGTGCGATGAGCTACTTCAGCTTCGATTTCGGTGTTGCGAGAGAGAGAGAGAGAGCTGTCCACGTAGGTGAAGTTGTCCACCACTTGCGGTCGGGTACCGTTCACGTTGATGTTGGGTTCGACCTAGGCAGCGTCGGGTGGCGGTTGATGCTTGACCACCGTCTTCTCCGTGTTGATTAGCAGGCCTAAGTTCACGCAGGCGGTGGCGAAAAGACCCATGCTCCTTTGCGTGTCCTCTTCCGAGGTGGTGTTGAGGACGCAGTCGTCGGTGAAGAGACGTTTGGGGACGGTGGTTGTGAATACACGCGACTGGAAACGCATCCGCCTGTGGTTGAGGAGGTGGCCGTCTGTCTTGTAGGCGATGTTGATCCCGGGGCGTTCGTCAAGTAGGCGTCCATTAGCATGACAGAGAACATAAGACTGAAGAGGGTAGGCACGATGACGCGGCCCTGTCTCAGTTCGTCAGTCACTGAGAATGTCTCTGAGACGACTCCATTGTCCGTAACCCGCGCCATCATGCCATCGTGCGGTTGACGCATCGTCTAAGTGAGTCGTTCGGGACAGCCGAATTTCCGCATGAATTTCCACAGTCCGTCACGATTCACCGTGTCAAAGGCCATGTTGATGGCCCCACGGTGACGGTGGAAGCCGCACTGGCTCTCCGACAGGAGAGCCTGTTCCAGATGGTGGTTCAGGTGGTTGGGGAGGATGCGAGACAAGACCTTCCCGTTGATCTCCAGCAGGGAGAGGCCTCGGTGGTTGTGGCGGAGTTGGCGGTTTCTCTTCAGCTCGTAGAGGTCGACGACTGTGGTGCCTCGGTATTCCTGTGGGATTTGTTATTGATCCACCTCTCCTGGAAGAGTGCTGTCAGATGATCTGTGATTTGGGGCCGCTGTGTTTGTAGATCTCAGCAGGGATTGCATCCGATCCGGGCGCTTTCCCGCTGGAGAGCTACTGCACGGCCCTGGTGGTTTCGTGGAGAGAGGGCGAGAGGTCGAGGTCGGCGTTGGTCTCCATTTGAGGCAGACGAACGATGGTGGCGTCGGAGATGTCAGAGGACGCTTTGGGACGCCTCTGAAGCCTTCGGCCCATCACTTCACACTTCGCGTCTTCTCAGTGAGTGGAATGGTTCCGTCAGCGCTGAACAGAGGTGCATTACCTTTGGTTGGCGGATCGAAGACGGCTTTGATTGCGGAGAAGTTCTTTCATTCGTTTCTGCCCCGTACCTTTGGATCTCCTCGACCTTGCGAGCCATCCAGGCGTCCTGCATCTCGCGCAGTCGCTGCTGCACAAGGCGGCGACTACGATAGAAGGCTGCTTTGGTGCCATCGATGGGCGTTCGACGTAGGCTTTGTGTAGGCGGTTCTTCTCGGCGAACAGGTTGTTGATGGCGGCGCCTTTGTCATTAAGCCAGTCCTGGTGCTGGCGATGAGCGCTACCGAGGAAAGACAGGGCGTATGACTGCACCGTGTCCCTCAGTTGACACCATCGGTTCTCCACAGAGGCGTTCTCATCGGTGACCATGGCGCCGACTGCAAGATTGGCTAGCTTTTAGGCGCAGTGGCTAACTAAGCTTGACAGCCAGTTTTCGCGTGCCACGCACGGCCTGGTCTCCATTTAATGAACCAGGCTTTTATGTGGACGTCTCAGTTCTCACGTGCGTGAAAGTGCCACATTAGAAGGAGCCATTGCATTCTGTCCCTCAGTGCTCCAGTCATTCAAAATATTTCTATGAGCGACGAATGCTCGAGTCAGTTTGCCATTTTGCAAACTATTGCTCTTAGTGCATCGTGCTGGATTTAGTATGGTGAAGAGAACACCGATGTTCCCAGCGGACAGATTATCGAATTTCGACCTCTGTTTTTTGTTCCTTTCCCAAGCTTGGCAGTCAGCTGGTTGAAGAATTGTGAGTAGTGACTGACAATGTTAAGCAGTCCGTCTATATATGTCACCCGCTAACTCTTCTCGACCTTATGTACCAGGTAACATCAAAGAACGTGTTTCCAATTTGCGTGAGAGGCGCATGTTTGTCGTGCGTCTTCAAGCAGGCCATAACGGAGACGGAAAAGGTACACCTGAGAAGCAAGTAGGCGGTTGGACGTAGGGACAATTTGTTTACTTTTCTGAACTTTCGAAGTCGTGCAGGAATCCATCATCAGAGATGACAATAACAGCTACACATACAAAAGTTATAGGTAATAGTTCTTAATCAGCAGTCATTGGCACAGGTCTAGAGGCAACGCCTGGGAGTCGAACATTCGCCCCCAGTGGTATAATTGTTACGGAGTGTAACGCATGATGTTGGGAGGGAGTTCGTATGTGGTCTAGGAATGTGTACGGGAGAAGATAGTGTCCAGAGTGTGGTTTTATTTAAGAGATACGTGAAGGCACATTTAGCCAGATATACTCATGCGGTCACCGAATGTCCGTGGGCAGTGTGTGCAGGTGGAACGGGTACAAAGGATAAATACTGAAGTTCATGGTACTGCTACGCCAGTGTCAGTGCGATGAACTCGCAGCTACTCGAGCAGGCCGGTGCGTGATACAAGTGTTCAGTGGCTTTAGAGACGGGACAGAATAGTAGCCACTGAGATGGCGGTGATGGTGACTTTGGTGGTGAAAGAGTTTTCAGATGTAGGCGGTAGCTTTGTGGTGGTGACATTACGGAAAATTCCGTTGTCTTGGATACGCTTATGGCCATTAAGCTCCATCCGGTGTCTGAATGTTTTCTTAACCCTGTAAGTAGACGAAGCCTGTGTAAGGAGTGTATGGCCGGGCTCCAGACACTGTTCTGCCGATCTCAGTGCGTGGATTCTCAAGCGACCGAACAGACTGATGAGTGACGAGGAAGTGTGGTCACAGTGAAGACATTTTGAATTTGGGTCCACATCACATGCGGTTGCGCCTTTATTAGTAATGTTTTGCAGGATGGCAAGAGTGTTCAATTTGATTAGGGTGCGTTATGAGATGAGAGGCGGCTTGGTCATCTTGAGATTGTATAGAGTTCGCAAATGCCAACCCTGCCCTGACAGAGTGAACATGATGGCAGGGGTTGGGTGTCGGGACCATTGGTTCGGAACACTTGAGCCTTATGGGTCTCTCTTTTCCTTGGCGGTGGCTATTCGGTTTGCCTTTGAGGACGGCTGGCCAAGTCTTTACGGCAGTTAACCAGGTCCGTCGATCTTGAGTGAGGCCCTCAACGGTCTCTGGGTTGATATGTAGGTGCTTTAGTGGGTGTCCTAGGTGTCCTTACAGCCACGCTTTAGTCGGCCTTGTTCGTAACAACTCGCAGCTAAATCGACGTGAAGTAGGTGCTTGGGCGGGTGTTCGTCGCCCATAATCACGACGTGGTCGGTCTATCGCAGTGTACCTGCCTCAGCATAGCGTGAATATTGAGACCGCCAGTTATTTCTAAGGTTTCACTGTCGCAGAGTCCTTCCAGCTCTTCCTGCTTCAGCATTTTTCAGAGGCAGCTGAGTTGAAAGTGGTTGATTCTTCTTGTTTGACCTTCAGAAACAGTCCATATTTCCTCCCGTAAAAGAGTGTTTTCAAAGCAACAGTCACGCACATCCTCGGTCTTAGGTTGGGTAGGATGCACGGACAGTCCCAGACGAAATGTTTTAACTGGTTGAAGACCTGGCCGACAATGGATATCCGACATGCGATTTCGCGGTCGATTTCGATCTTTTTGGAAATCATACTCCCAAGGTCAGTCAGATGTGGCGTAAGCGCCATTGACACTGATATAGTGTTCAATTTAGTCAGCATTTGGCACTGGTTGATTCATGACCGCTGTCTGCTCCATGATAATTGTCAGATTGAAGCTGGAATGACCGGAGGCGAAGAGATCCACACGCCCCTGCATTTCTGCTCCCGTTGTGACGTTTGACCCTCAGTCATCCTCGAACAGTAGGTAGTGGACCCTAGCCCTTATTACCCCCGGAGACAAAAGAAAGCGACGGACGTTGACAAGGTTTCGGCGAGGGCATGATTTTTACCCCGGGTCAGCAACGGATAACCTTGAGAGACTTTCTAACGGGAATGGTTGTAATAGGGGTTATACAAGTGTGGCCTTCGGACACACACAAAAGTATATCGGGAAATTAATAATGAGAAAAAAGTAAAATAACATCGAAAACCTACTAATGGACTTAGAATGTAAACGGTAAGTAAGCGCATAAATTCGAAAAACTAACCAACGTAGTCCGTGAAATCCAGACAACTGATTAACGGAAGCTCGGGTTCCTATGGAAAAAATCAGACAATGGAAATTGGCCGCGGGCGTTAATCGAACGGGCAAATAACGCAGATGTAGAGCTATACCAGGGGACGCAGTGCCTGCCAATAATTTACAAAAATAGCAAGACGAAGAACAAGAAGGAAGTATAACAAGATAAGTTAAGTGATAGTAAGAAATAATGAAAAGGAAAGACAAATCTAGTAATGTCAAGAAATATGGCCTAGATATGGATGTAGAGGTATATGTAATGGAAATGATTCATGGTAAATAACGAAGATTTCGGCATGAAAAACAAATTCCCAACCTGAATATTGAAACATATAAAGGCAGTCTGTCCATGTAGATACAAACATCAGTATCCGTCAATGAAAGACATTTGCCATAGTATGAAATAGCGATAGACCGTAAACTCATTCCTTTTTTAAAACGCAGACCACCACCTGAACAAACCGGAAGATGCAGACGACCTCAGAGGGAAGTTGAGAAGATAATAGAAATTGTGAACCCCGATAAGGCAATGCAATATTACCAAGCAGAGGATTGTTGCCCAAAAGTTTGAAATATATATGTGTCGTTTGGATAGAAAGGAAGTCGTCTACAAGATCCCATGTGAGGCCTGTGATGCAGTTTGTTGTGGTCAAACAAGAAAATCCGCCTCTACACGCATTCACGAACACCAACTTGCAGTTAAGAGGTGAGACCACCTGTCTCAAGTAGGCAAGCATACCCTGGACACAGGGCATACGTTTGCTTGGGACAGAACACGGATTGTCGGTGCCTGCCCCTTCAAGAAAGGCCGAGAGTTCCTTGAGGCCATGCACTCGGGTGAATCGTGCACCAACCGTCATATCGAGTTGGACGCCGCGTACAAACGTCTCAAGGAGAAATGGAAGAGACGAGAGCCAATCGGGACGGATTGACGCAAAAAGCGGCCGCTCAGGGGCGCAAACGCGAACGATTATCGAGTTTTTTGTGTGCACTGCCAGATGTTAACTGTTGCCGGCACATTTACTCTCAGTCTGACGACGACCTGGGGAACCAGGGTCGAAAATTCACGCAATAAAGTACCTTTTCCCAAAGAACGCCTCCGGCTTCAACTTATATTACTTGGGATGCCTACCTTCCAATACATAAGTCGTTATATAAGTAATACTATTCTGCCTATATATCATGCGCCGCTGCGCGGGTGCTGGTTGGGCGAGAGAGAGAGCCCATAAGGCACAACGAACGAGTGATTTCCGTAAGAACGATCGGTGAGCGCCCCCTACCATTGTATATTCCTGATCTAAACCGACAGGGCAACGGGCTTGTGGTCCAGTGGTTAGAGGCGTGGATTTCTAACTAACAGGTCGCGAGTTCGAGCCTCGGGTGTTCCACACTTCGGGGTTGGGTATGCCTGGCTGACGACGACTAATAAGCCAGGAATGGCCATTCCAGTCCTCCTTGTCTTTGTCGGAAATGTCATTCTGCCTTCACATTGTCACGACTTGTTATTGAGGATGGGATAGACGTATGTACTGATGATTTCGGAGTATTTCTACCCGCCGAGTTGAAACTTTCTTCCGACTTCTGCTCCGGAAGGTGTATTCTGCAACCTGTGCACGCAGTTGTCCCTGTTCGGAGAAGCTGGTGTCATTTGGGGCCGTGATACCGGAGTTTTATCGATGCAGTTTGCGGATAGACAAATCTGTTCTTCCTTCTTTTTGGTTGACTACAATTTTGTGTAAACTGGAGCGAACTTTCGAGGTCGACGGATCTTGGTGTCTGGGTTTAAGGCGGTGGGTCCGAGACTCTTATTTCGTATGACTTTTGACTTTATGCTTGACGTTCACGATTGCGGTTAATTTGCCCTGTAAACTGTCTTGTCCCAGCTCCCACTTTTTTTATGCACCCCTAAGTAGGGTTGCTGAACCATTCCACCAGTCAGGAGATTTCCAGTATTTGTCTCGACGGCCTAAATTGACCTGGATTACCTAGGGGATTGCATGTTGCCCTCTCGGTGGAACTTTTCATTCGAGACTACTGAGCGCATTATCAGGTGTTGAGACGCACACAGATTGGCCCCACGGGATTTAGACCAGCACCTATGGACGGCTGTCAGCTGTAAACATCATGCAAGTCGCAATCTTCTGGCATGTAACAGATGAGAGTTGGGTGTCAGGCCGAGCCATTGCAGAACTGCCCATCAGGTTCATTAGTGCGTATGTTGTAGCCCGTCAGCACAGTGTCCACAAGATCCTACCGAACACGTCAATTTAGCCGGCGAGACCATACACGACATCCC